GGCAAGAAGCCGAACTGCCCCAGTGAGATCAATACCGACTCTCTCAATCTTGAGTCGACCAGCCGCTTGTACAGTTTTATCGTGTGAGCAGTCAACTTGAACACTCGGTAGAGAAACTCTCCATCGCTCCCCCCTTCCGCTTGAAAATGGGAATGATGATGCTGCTCTTCAACACATCTGTGGTTCTTCCTTCTATAGTAACAGGGTGCAGGAATCGGGTGACACCTGGTCCCGTCCTCTCCGAGTGTATTCCAGGTATAAATTGGTATCGTGTCTGGCCCACCCGCTTCCTCAACCTTCTTCTTCCCGAATGCACGACTTACCTCATTCAATGTCCATCTGCGATTGGGCCAGAAGTCGCTTCTCCATTGAAGCTAATCTCAGAAAGAAGTTCTGCATTTCAGAGACCACCGAAGTAATTCTACCGCCTGCACTTGAGTACACTTGGGTTCTCTGGATGGCGCTCGCTGGTCTATACGTATTTCACTATCGAGTTGTCCTGAGTAGCCTGGTGTGAATTGAGCTTGAACATGGCTTCCATTTCCGTATTCTTAGATACCGCAGCCTAATAGTCTCTTCTGGAATTCTGTAGGCAGCTAGCTCTTCTTTGGCTCGCCTCTTTTGCCAATGTTTTTAGGCATCATTTTTCGTTTTACAACTCCCTGAACTCCATCATTCCTGAACCATGCCACTTTGTCATTATTGTACCCACCCCGCGCCTCACCCAGGCAGTATAATCTTCATAGCCTCCTTCCTATTTGCTGGAGCAGCCCTTGGGAATCCGAGACCAACTTCCAGCATCGCTCCTCAGCTCTGAAGGTTATTCCGCCCGGGTGAGGTCGAGACGTTTTGCTTGGTGAAACTTCCATCACTGGATTATTCGCTCCCTTCTTGTCCTTACTTTCTTGGGGAGCTCAAAGGCCATGTCTGCTAAAAGAGGCGTACGCTGGAGGGTCAATTCTTCGTCAGGCAAACATTGTTTCTCCTGTTGTTGAAATTCTTCTCCGTTCGAGGTTTCGGTGGAAGATTTAATTAAATTAACGGCCTAATGTTTTGACGTGATCGTCGTCTTTATAGGCCTAAGCGCAATTCGAGATGGTTCACAATATCCGACAGCGTGTGAACTCTCTAGCAAAACCACGACTGAAATTCATTGGTGAACTACCCCCTTCATGAAATGGCCGTTATAGCGGATCAGTTGAGCTGCGCACAATACCGTGTGCGTTTCATGACCTTCGATAGAGATAAGAGGGTGTTCCTCCCTTGAAGATAGATCCGAGCGGATGTATGCTAGTATCTTAGGAGTGAGGTCCATCGTCAATGGGTGACTAACGATTTTTTTCTACATGAGCGCATCACTCGATGAAGAATCTAATTCACGCTTGTCATAGGGATTATTCACGTTATACGCTATCCATTATAACACTGGAAGTGAGTAAAATTAACGAAATATTTTCCACCTCTACCTGTTGCCGTCACAATTTATCAGCACGAACAAACTCTAAAAAAGAATGTATGTAATTCTCATCGGATCGCCCGGCTGACGTTGTTTGTGCTGTCAAATTTCCTCCTTTCTGCGTAAAAATACCCTGTCGCGTACATTTCCTCCAAATGTGGATGCTCTGCTACAGTTGAACGGGGGGTAAAGATTTTGGCTTAATACACACACACTCACATACCTACACCCAACACTCCGTTTGCGCCTCGCCCATCATGAGCTTGGTTCTGCTCAACTTATCTGTGTTTTTTAAGAAAGCAGTTAGGCTGCGCACGATACCGTGCGCGTCTAATGGCTTCTCATAAATGAATTTCTCCGAAGATAACCTGAAGCGTAATCGTCTTGGCAACTCAGTAGCCACCCTCTTCCAAAAAAATGGACAGTACCGCTCTCCCACCCTAAATAAAAGCGTCATAAGCCGTTTATTCAGAGCGCACATTTCTAGCAAACTACATTTGGCAACCACTTACATACGTTTATCTATATACTAATTGAGACCATCCGAAAAACCAAAAAAAGACCTTAAAATTATTAATTTCTTGTTTACCCCTCACCATTGTGAAATGCCTGTATTTCACTGGGGATGAAATGGGAATTCATTTACACTCTGAAATTTATCCGCACCCGTCGCAGTAGGCATTTGATAGCCTATTCTCGTGGCCAATATATTGTTTGATGAAATTTTATGCAAAAATCATGACAGGCAGGTCCATATTTACTACTTTCGCCCAAACACCGCTCCCGGTGAGTAGAGTCACCTGCCATTAGTTCTCCTGTCTTGCCGTCCACATCTCTTCCAATTTGAACGCTCCAGGTCCAAATTTACTATTTTCGAGAAAGCCCCGCCCTAGTGGGCGGAGTCTACACTTGTCACCTACCATTAGCTTTCCCTTCTGCCGCCTACATCTCTACCAAATTGGAACGCCTCAGGTCCAACTTTGCTATTATCGAGGAAGCCCCGCCTCCAGTGGCCGGGGTCTATACCTGTCACCTACCATTAGTTTTCCATCTTGCCGCCTGCATATCTGCCGAACTTGAATACTCTAAGCCCAGGAGAACAGGATTTACAGATTTCGGTGAACTATAGCGTTCGCGCACGCCCCGCTCCTAGTGGGACACTCCGCCCCTGGCGGGCGGAGCTAGCTTAAGTCACGTGTACCCAAACAGTTCGGCTCATTCCCCACTTGTTCGAACCTGTCCGAGCTGTTCCATTTGATTTGCAAATGGCACCATATAATATGGTGTTACAGACAAACAGACAGACAAACAGAAAAACAGACAAACGGACATTTGCGGTTTATATACAGTAACGATAGAATGCTACAGGCGACTGTCAGTGGCCAATGGGCCTTCTTGATGGTTTCCTTATACTTACAATGGGTAGATCACTTTACGATGCTACCAACCACGAGTCATAGCTCACAGATCGGTAAATATGGCAAGTGGTCACTAGTTATGGACACAAAACACTAGTGGCCTGCACAAAACATACGTTTACACTTACGTTTCGCAAAGTTTTTCTTTTCGAAGGTCTTCAAAGTTAAAAAATCTACTGCGTACTAAAAGCAGACAGAATGATGAGTTGCTGGCAGCTTCTAATACTAAGCGTGACTTAACACTTTCGGTACCATTTCTGCGTAGTTTCTATAAGGAACTCCCTCCAGAACCTGAGACAGACGTTAAGTTTAGATTGTTATCTGCAGGATCCTGCCTGTCCTCAACCAATACAGAAGACTGCAAAATATGAACGTAACCCCATTGACGAGCACGCCTTTAAGGAGTGTCTAGCGTGTGAGACCGAGCGCGTTTTCGCGGGCTGCCGATGTGGCCCGCCGGCGGGCCACACGGTCCCAGGAGCAATCCAATTTTTTGCGAGTCGTTCTCTGGGATGAAGTTCTATAAAAATGTCATGGGAGTAGTGATAAGTCATTCACAATTTGACATCTACTGTTGTTTTGTTGTTTTCTAGATGGGAATATTTTTGAGACCATTTCTGAACTGTCGTAGCGTAAGGGATCGAGGCCCCAAAATACGATAGCATTCTGTCCGGACACGAGAGATGGATTTTCTCCTTCAACCTTCGATAGACTGATTAGAAGCAGATAGCATCGTCGTGATAATCTTCAGAATCGGTTGAATTAGCCCAAAGACTTTAGGATGAGGAAAACATGTAGTTGTTACCACGGAAAAAACCCATTCCGAAACATCAATACCTTTCAAAAGATAAAGGAGAGCTCGGTTGCCCGCAAAATAGGGGCGGCTTTACATGATTGAAATGAAAGGGTAGGAGGAAAATTAGCTCTGCATGGGGGGAGGGGTAAATGAATCTATCGAATAATTCCATAGCCGTTGAAGGGTACATACAAGAGCCCAAAAGGATTTGTTGATGAAAGCGTTCAGATCTAAACAGGATGTCGGCTTATTCTCCAATTGTGCATCGCACCACAAGATGGTATCGAAAGTTTCTTTTCATTTTTCACGCAGAGTGGTTGTCGTGATTTCTACAGACTCTTGTGAGACACAGGAAATGTTAACTTCTACCAGCCTAAAATGAACCTATAGAATCCTACTTTCAAAACATTCTCGGCAAACGTTCCTCCTCAAAAGAACCTACATGTCGGAAAGTGAGCAGTTGGAAAGAGACTGTAGAAGATGCACTGGCTGCTACAAAGAACATCACGAAGAAGAATATCGTGTCTGCGAACCATGCCAGGAAGTATACTTCAGAGCAACAATGCCACGGTTACTTTTATTTTGATTAGTTCGGTTTTTCATAACTGAAATAGAGTTTGTAAGGAAGAGTTCAGATCAGTCTAAATTATCACAAGAAGTATGTGTAGTGAAACAGTTGGAAACGCTTTATTTGCAGCTTTTGATGTAGTTCTCACACAAAACTTTGTTTTCTTGCGTTCTCTTTCTATAGTTGAAAGTGAACAAATTTTTGTACCACCGTGCCTCAAGATTCTCTAGAAGGTCATTGACATTGCTGTTACATGAAAGCGGCAAAAAATCCAAAATCGGTTTGAAACAATCAAAATACCACCGTGGACCATATACGGGCCACGCGGTCCCAGGAGCACGATATGCGTTTGAAAAAATGCGTAATTGCTTCCCGAACAATCCAATACTACATTCCTTAAAATAACTTTTTTTGCTATAGTTATTTCGAAGCCTTCTGCTTATAGCTTACTCTCGGCTTTCAGACAATTGTTTCACTGTTGGTGTTCAAGCTAAAAGTAAATCTTTTGTTTACGTAGCCTTTCATGAGATATTGATAACCATAGAAACTTAACGATGATCGCTCAATCATTGCAAGCTGCTGAAGAACTCTTGATCTAGGCTGCTAATGTCAACGACGATCAGCTTATCAGTGCGGTTACTGAAACGCTGTACTTGCTCATTAATGCACAACGACTGTGCAGAAAACGAGAGAAGTTGCTTCTGTAAACTTTGAATTGTTGTGATTTCCGTGTTTCTTAACCTTTCGTTTTTATTTAGTGAGATGAAAGTGATGCATCAAGATGAAATGGATATGATGAAAGTAATACACGCGGACCTACCGGCTCATTTGCAGTCGGTGGTAAGAATCGAAGGAGATAACGTCTTCATAAACGAAGCGGGTGTGTGAAATGTTCCGTAATAAAAAAGCTTGGCAATCACGAATCTTCAGGATTTCGTTGTTTGCCTTCTTCGACAACATCTGCTCTGCCATTCTCACGATTTCCGTCTTCTGCCGTTCCTCATGCAATGTGTATGAAGTGTGTTGGCACTTACGTTGCTGATATTTCTTGCAGTTACAGACACCCAGTTCTCCATTCTAGTCCAGGCACGGTACCGCCGGTCGACATGCCTCCATTCATAGCAGCTCCTGGTATACCACCAGTAATACCCTCAAGATCAATAGTATCAAGCATGCCTCCTTCCATGCCGTCAGGTGAATCAGTAGTGTCTGCCAATGTCTTGTAATTCCATATAATTGTAGTGAAAATGACAGCTCGTTGAACATGCTCCTACTAGGCTCCGAGTCATCAGCGGCGCCCGTAATTGTTCCTCCGCCGGCACAGTCGGTATCACCTGATCTGAATCTTGGTACAGAGCTCATCGGTTCTTCATTTATGTCGTCGACCTATTCTCATCCTTCTCCAATTTCGTCCGGTCCAAATCTCAGTGCTTCTCTTCGTATTCACCCAGTACGTTGCGTTAACAATTCGAGAAGGAAATTTATTCAAAGAACTAATTCTGTGTCCTACCTCTTAGTGCAGCAAGCGTCAGGTTAAGCTTAAAGTGGATCACTCGAAATCTATTCTATCCCTAGAATTCGTCCCTACTGATTAGACTCCTCAATAATTTGATATCTGCAGTCATCTCCTGCTGCTGTGGTGACTCGTCTACCCGATTTCTCCAAGCCTCCCCCGTCTATTCGTCCTATCAGTGAAACGGTGCGTTTGTGAAAGAATTGGTTCACACTTTACAAGGAACAAGGGCTATTCATTACATTCTTCCCAATGCGATAATCGAAATGTCACAACATTTACTAATCGGCCTGCTTATCTCATCCTTTATCGTTAGTTTTGTGTTAAATGTACTCGTGTTTGTTCTGTAGAAATGCTCAGCAGTAAGTGGCAGTGGTTCTAATCTAAATGTTCACTTCTGAAGACGACGTCAAGCAGTGTCCTTACCGACGTTGCGGTAACACCAATCCAGAAAGTGCTCCGCCAGCCATAGCTTCGACAACGGCACCTCCTCCAAATGCTGCTCTTCCACTCAACATGAATGTACCACCACCAAATGTTCAGAGCGGATCCGGTACGTTTTACCAATCGCATACTTTGCTTTCCGCTACAAACCATCCCGAAAATTCAGCCTATTTCAATGTTTGGTTGGTGTTCTAGGCACTTTCAAGGCTCCCTATATGCAGTCATCTAGTTTTCTTGGCCCTTTATCAGGTACGCTTAGAATTATTGTATCATGGTTTCACACATAGATCGCCTATCGTTAGGCACACCGGACACTGCTCATGCCCAGGATTTTACTAAAACGATTACGAACATGATTACGTCAGCCCTCAAAGCTCCTATGGTGGGAGTGCTGAACTCTTCACTATTGACGTTTTTCATTATTATTTTTTCAGAACGCGGGCGTCAACGCCTTTGGCGCACGCTCGAGTTGAGAACTTACGTTAGTCCCGGTATCGGTCTAATCGGTAATTTCTCACCTCCATTGAACGCTCATGACAATGACGGTAGTGGCGAGGTCGACTGGACAAGCGGCCCGCGTGTATTTCAGTATCGAAGCGAACCCTGTTACGATAAACGTCAAGGTACTGATATGCGAGAATTCGAAGGCAGAATTTCAATCGAAATGTTCGACTTTTACTAACATGTACGATGCCATTGAGAGTCTTTCAACTCTTGATTTGTGCATTAGATTCGTTTTGATATCGATACATTGGATGCGTTCAAGTGCTAAGTTAGTCATGCAAAACATCTTTGCTTCACTTAAGTATTGTTTTTCTCTTCATGAGAGAAGTCATGAGGGCACTTTCTGCGGAAGGCCATCCATCTTTAAAACATCCTTTTAATGTTCTCACTGAGATATAAGAGTTGATGAGTCTTGTAGAATATACCACGATCGACCTTCTCTTAATCTTGGATGACCTTTGACTAGTAGCTATGTGTACTGCTGTCTTTCCGAGATTTTAAATTTTATGAGGCTAACGTTTTGGCTATCTCGCCTTCGTCAGAGTCTGAAAGTCGAACAACCATTGGAATTCATTCCATAAAAAATCAAGAAAAACCGAGACAGTTCTCTAGGCTAGGAGACCTCCTGGACTCGGTATACAAGAGGCTAACCTTGTTCTAAATAGCCGGAGCGTTAGATCGACCACCCAGAATGTAACTTCTGCGTACAATGAGCAAGCCTCCCTCCTTCCTGACCTCACTTCAGTTTCAAAATTTGCAGAGGTCGAGAAAGGGCGCGAGGTCACGGTCAACGGCCACACACACTTCCTTTCTATTAATTTGTGGGTCCCTAGCTGTAATCCAACACGCCTCGAGTGCTTTCCGCGCGGTGGTCTCCGTTTCTGGAACCAAGACGGCTACTGAAATTGTGATCTCGTTACCATCGTGGCACAAAACTCGATGCATTCCCAGTGGTCTTTGAGTGCGAGACTTCCTTAGCCCCTCCAGGTGTTCTTTAATTCGAGTACGAAGGGGACGCCCTGTTCCACCAATATGGACTAGGCTGAACAACAAGTTCGATAGACTGATAGACCAACAACGCGCTTAGGGAATACAAGTAGTGCTTACCGTTCACCATAACAATGAGGACCACCATAACTCAAATGCGGCGGAGCACCTACCCAACTCTCGGGTCACGATTTAAGGCGGGATAACCCTTCCTGAAGAAGCGCGTCCTAGCTTTGCACCAACTCAATCAATTACCCCTCGAGTCGCAAGTAAAATAGTGGGCAACCTGCTGACCCATCAGGATCGCCTCAGATGTAGAGCCAACAGCATAGTGCAGGAAGCGGGCGCTGGAGATCAGGTAAACAGAGTTTTCCCTGCTCTATCCTTTCCTAGCGCATATCAGAAAAAAACAAGAGCCACATGCTGTCGTAGACAGCGTATTCCGTCTTTTAGCTGCATCTGTTTATAGAGTGGTACGACAGTTCGTCGACAGACATCCTGGTTGCAACCTAACACCTCTACAAAGGAAAGGCTTCAAAAAATTACGTAATTGAATAGAAGCTGGGGTGATACGCCTATCTGTCAGCGATAAAGGAGGGAAATTCGTGGTCATACCACGAGTGGTTGATAAGGCTATAACACATCTACATTTACAGGACAAAACACTATATTGCATATCTACAGACAAAGAGTATGCAAAACAGTACAGAAAACTGAACAAGGTTTAGTGTTGCCTGGCGAAGGTCGCCGGTGTGCAGAGCTCCACGATCAATCGCTCGAAGAGTGATCCGCCTCTGTGTCCTGTCCTATTTACCCTTATCAAGACTCGTATGCTTGCCGCTGCAGATCTGAGCTCTAATAACCCCACAGTGTTCAAGGTCAGGCCCATTATCAGCAGTGTTGGGGGACCCACTGATAAAATTTCATGGCTTCTAACATTATCAGCAGTGTTGGGGGACCCACTGATAAAATTTCATGGCTTCTCAATCTTTTAGTACGACAGATCCTTCCGTACATACCTACCTACCTGACTAATACGAATACGCTCCTCGAGAAACTGTTGAACGTAGACCTCCTAGAGAACGTTGTGATCGATTCATTCGATGTTCTTTGTACACAAATGTGTCGAACGAGGCTGCTTTGGAGGCAAAATTCGAACTGCTGAGTGATCACGAAGGCTCACTCAATTTGTGCGGTTTCTCTATCGCAAATATAATGAGCGTCTCAAAAGAGTGCTTTAATTGCTCGTTTTTCAGGTGGTCGGGTGACTAAAATAGACAAAAGAGGGGTTTGGCTATGGGCCAACGGCTAGCATCCGTACTGGCAGTAACATAGATGTCAAAAATCGAGGAACCTATTTTAGGCCCAGACCAGCTCTCTATAGTCATTATATTGACGACTCCCTAATCATATGTTCCACTCAAGAAGAGATGAACATATGCTTTGACATCCTTAACAACCGGGCAGATCAAATCAAATTCACACGTGAAAGGCCTGGGAGGCTGGTTTCCCTTCCTTAATATCCAAATCCAGCTAGCGAGGGAAGCAGTGCGGACCAAGTGGTACCGTAAGCCGAGCTGTAAGAATATCCTTACTCACTACCGCTCGGCCCACCTCTTAAGAACAAAACAACGTTATGTTATCAACAACTGTTAAGAGTTGCCAGTAAGGTCTGCTCTGATACGGATCTCAAAACAGAATCACTGCTCATAGCTGAAGGGTTGCGTTGTCAAATGGATATCCTCACTGTCACGGGGAGTCACAACGTGAGGGGCATTTCTCACTTCATAGAATTCATGAACGAGCACCAGTCATTAAGGTGGCATTTTGCCTGCCATTCACTTCCGAAGAAATGAGCAGAGCAATTCGATCAATTTTGACTAGGTGTGCCCTGCAGGAAGAAGTCATGGTTGTGGAAATACCCCCAGGAAACGTCTGTCGACAACTGGTCCGCAATCGCCTATACGACATCTTATGTGAGACTCCAGATTGCCTTGTGTGTCCTTCCAATCGACTGGGTGATTGCATGAGAGCAGGGGTTATTTGCGAAATTCGTTGCCAGGCCTGTGGAGCTGAGTATATTGGTGAAACAGGGTGTCCCCTTCGTGCCCAAATTAAAGAACACCTGGAGCGGCTAAGAAAAACTCTCACTCAAACACCGCTGGGAATGCATCGAGTTTTGTGCCGTGATGGTAACGAATTCACAATTTCAGTAGCCGTCTTGGTTCTAGAAACAGTGACCACCGCGCGGAAAGCACTCGAGGCGTGTTGGATTGCAGCTAGGGACCCCCAAATTAATAGAAAAGAAGAGTGTGTGGCCGTAACTCGTGACCCCGCACCTTTCTCGACCTCCGCAAATTTTGAAATTACAGTGAGGTAAGGAAGGAGAGAGGCTTGCTCATTGTACGCAGACGTTACATTCTGGGTGGTCGATCTAACGCTTCGGCGTTTTAGATCAAGGTAAGCCTCTTGTATACAGAGTCCAGGAAGTCTGCTGGTCTAGAGAACTGTCAGGGTTTATCTTGCCTTATTATAGAATCAATTCCAGTGGTTGTTCGACTTTCAGGCCCTGACCAAGGCGAGATAGCCAAAACAAGCCTTATAAAGTTTAAAATCTTGGAAAGGCTGCAGTAAACATACCTACTAGTTGATGAGTCATCAGGAAGGTTGATATCACTACGCTCCTGATGTACTAGTGTTGTTTCAATTCACATGAGCAATTTATCACATAGTTTATGTAGATCATCAGTTGGATCGCCCGGTTTATGACGGGCTCTCCCTTTTTTGTATAAAATTGACCCACCGCCTGCACTTTACTAAATTCTTACGTTCTGGCTCAAGAGAACTGGAACAATCGATTTCGGGCCAACACACACACACCGACGTCTTTCGTGCCCCCTCCCCTCCCACAGTCATTATACCAAGTCCTGTATGTATGCGTAATATGTTTCATTCCCCACTTATTTCAACTTGACAACATATTTTCCTCAGAGTGCGCTCATTTTACGTTCGCTAAACTCTTGCAGGCGGAACCTGGCTCATTCACGTCCTATCGCCCACCATCACAGTCTCGATCCTGCCGCCTGTACTCCTACTATGTTTGAACTCTCCAGATTCTAATTAACAATTTCCGTACACGCCACTCCCTCTGCGAGAGGAGTCCAGTTTTGCCGTCTATTATTGGCGTTCCCATTCTGCCGGCTGTTGCCCTGACAAATTTGGTAGCTGTAAGTTCACGGGAACAGGAGTTGTGAATTGCCGGTTGGACATAGACAAACATTCAAACCAACAGATGCACTTAGGATAATAAGATAACCTCAAACCACGTTCCCCGCTTTGTAGGGCGTTTTTGAAAAGACATTAATTTTCGATATCAGCCCTGCCCACTTTGAGGGTTTGACCACTCTTCTTCAATAGCCTCTGTGCACTTTTTCCGCGTTCTAGAATGTTTTTGAACAGAGTTACCTACATTTTTAAAAATCACCCTCTACTTGGATACACGCCCGCCCATCTTGGGCGAAGCATTTCTAAGCTCACGCCTATCACGTGTTGGACTTCACGTCTTCGTCGAATAAAATTATGGGTTAATGTGGAAAGCGCCGCCCACTGCGAGAACGCTCGCACACCACAGAAGGTTCTCCTTTATTTCGTCTGTTGACCCTTCCTCAACTTTACTTTCCCTGTGTCTGGGCCTTTTCAAAACTAGAACAAGATGTTCGGCCTTTGCCACCGCCCATTCCGGCGCTTCTCCCGCACCTTGTAGGTAAATTCCGCTGAACTCATATGCTCTTTTGGCCTTGCCCTAGCCATACCATCCCGAATTCGACCAGCCCTCTTCGGATGTCATACATACAGTAGCGCTCAAAAGTCTTCGGTGAAATGCTTCGACGCTT